AAATGCATAAAAACATAGAAATGAAGATAATCTACATAAATTAACATACAACGGACTTTACTAATGCAATTTAGGGCGCTTGAATATATAATATTCGGCGCTAATCATTGTCTTGGCAGACTGGTTTGTCCAAATATCAGGTACTCATTACCATCTTTTTGCATCAAATTTGATGTGTCATATTCATATTTATATGTGTGTGTGTCTATATATATATACTGATAATTCTGAACTACTTTGTCTTTTTTTTTTATAGCTTTTTTCTACTTTTAATTTTGAATTATATATTATTCGACTTGTTCTTTTATTAACTCTAGGGGTTGTTGCTTCTTTGGGTACCTTGTGAATGCATCCCACAGTTCCTTGCATGCACATAGCCGTGATATATATATAGTTGGTCATGAATGAATGAGAGAGATTATTTTGTACCTCTGATATGCATAATAATAGTGACAATTGAAGATATTGATTTGTTCTGTCCTGTTTTTTAGAAGACACTTCTCAAGAATTCTGAAAACCGAATTAGACCATTTTCTGGAAATTGACTATTTTTTTTTTTAATTAATTCAGTTTTTTGAACACTATATTTTTAGAAGTCAACGAAACGAATATTTGTAATTGTGTACTCTTTTTCTGTTTTCCAGTTATTTGATATGATGAACAGATAAGTGAATGAAACAAGCTCTATAAAAACATGTTTGGTTTAGTCTTAAAACATAATTCTCATAGAATTATAATATACTATTATATCTGAAATTTCCTTTTTTATAACTTAATTTTCAAAAATTTCCTTTAGAAAACTTTCAAACCAAAGAATTTGAGCTGTTTAATGTTTTTTTAGTTATCCTAGAAATAAAAAACTGGAGCAATTAAGCAGATCAAATTTATAAGAACTCTATAATTAGTTTCCAACATTTCCTTATTGTTTCCTACTTTCTTACAAAGCCATTTCCACATCAACTTTGGTCTTAAAACAAATAACATGGCGTTGACATTCTTTAATCCCAGCATTTGAAGCAATATCTTTTTTATATAACTTGAAAGAAACTCATTTAACAGATCAAATGTATCAAACTTTTGTTGTTTGATATGAACAAGTAAAAAAAAATAAAACTATTGTTAGGTGACTGAAAAATTATGCTATATATCCACATGCTTAGGGATCAAATTCTGGAATCACATTAGTTTGTGCCAGTAGGTAGCAGTTTGTGGCGGAGTGATGGTTTGCAGGGTGTGTTTGAGGGAATAGGATTTTGTAGGTGATGGGAGTCCATTGTATGAGGTCAGTGGTATTGAGGTTAGGTAGTGGTAGGCTTGAGATGTTTAAGGACAGTAGTTACTCATTTAATATGTTAAAGGAAATAAAAGATGTTAAAACAGAGTTTTGGATTTAACTATTTTAATGGAGATTGAGAAATGTAAGAGAGAGAGAGAGAGGGGCATGTAGGAGTTTCATGGTTTTTTATTTAGTTTTTAATTTTTGCAAGAAACTCACACACACCATATTCACACAAGGCGCTTGGTAATTTCATGGTGAGTAGAAGGTAAAAGAAGATAAAATGATGCATATATGCTATTCCATGCAACATGTACATCCCTAGATCAGCAACAGCAGCAGCCGCCACCATGGTTCCACCAACAATAGTCTCCATCAGATTCCCAACAGCAGCGAACCACACCAAACTGGCATCAATAGCCTCCACCACCTCCAGCAGACTCTCATTTTCAGCAACCGCCACTAACAAGGTGGCACCAGCAAGCACCACCACAACCACCAACAGAATGAATAATGGATCTTGAAGAGGATGGAACAATATTTTGTGCTTCCAGATGGTGTAATTTTTAGTTTAGAAAACTGCAGAGCAGTTTTAGTTTTTATTTAGAAAACTGGAGATTTTATGGATCTTGAATATATGTATTATGTATTGTAGATTTATTTTATTTTATGGCCAATAATATCTTTTTGAATGTTATTGTGGATCTATTTTATTTATGTGTTACATGTATTCAAAATGGTTAAACCTACAAATCAAGCATAAAAAAAAAATAATAATAATAATAATAATAATAATTATGTATTAGGGACAGTTTACCCGTCCCTAATATAATAATTATAATTAAAAAAATCATGCATTAGGGACAGTCTATCTGTCCCTAATACAATAATTATAATTAAAAATAATGTATTAGGGACGGTCTATCCGTCCCTAATACTATACGTATTGGGGACAGTCTCCAAAACTGTCCTTAATTCATATGTTATTAGGGACAGTCAATACCGTCCCTAATAAGTTTTAGGGACGGTATTATTTGGGACAGTTAGTACTGTGCCTAAAGGTCAAAAGTATTTGTCACGGTCCAATTTGACCGTCCCTAAAGCTCTTTTGTCACGCTACTTTTAGTGACGGACCAATTTGACCTTTAGGGACGGATTTCGAGCTTTTAGGGACAGTTTGGGCTGTCCCTAAAACCCGAATTTCTTGTAGTGTAGGTTATTTAGAGCTCTTTTTTTTGGAAAAAATAAAAAATAAAATTCATTAAATAAAAAAATATTGTTTAGGCATTGTTTGTCCAAAAAAAAAAAAAAATTGGGCCAAAAATAAATTTAAAAACTTTTTTTTTTTTTGTTTTTTTGTTTTTTCCCTTAAAATTTGTTTTTTTTTTTTTTTAAAAAAAAAAAATTTAAATTTTTTTGCTTTAAATTTTAAATGTGTAGGCCAAATAGTGTATTTGGCCGTTAAGGCACTGTTTCTACATTACCAAACAGTGCCTTAACGGCTATAATTTTAAAAAAAATTTTAAAAATTCAAAATTTTTTAACTTTATTAAAAAAAAAAAAAATTAATTGAAATTTTTTAAATCTCTATAAATACCCCAACTCCTACCATCACTCATCATATCTCTATTATCTACCATTCAACTTATTTCTTCTTCTATTTTCTCAATCTTAGCTATTTTTTCAAAGTCATTTTGATTCCATGGATCCTCGACATCCATTTTATTATGTAATGTGTCAAATATATATATGTGTGTGTGTTAAGAAGATTTTTTTTTTTATTTGAGCTGTGGGGCCCACAATTTTATTAAGTGGTCATAAGACCACGTTTTTCTTTTGGCTCTCTGCTATCTCACTCTCTCTCCCCGCTGCTTGCTTCTCTCTTCCTTCCTGTTTTTCTTTTTTTTCCTTTTTCCATTTCAAGGCTTCAATCCTTGATTCCTTCTTCAATACTTAGTATTTTTAAGTGCCGTTTGCTGCAAAACGGAGAGCACGACGAGCTCTATGCGTGTTTACTAGCAATTTCAGTTTTGTGCAACCTAGGGAGTCCGAAAATCTTGACCCATTTTGAGGGTTTGAGGTGAAAATTGGGGGTTTTCTCCTCCTTTGAGGTAGCGGTGTTTAATTCACAATCTCTTAGATTTTGGTGAATTATTTTTTCATAATTTGTGTTTAATTTGTGTTCTAATTTGTATTATTTTTTCATAATTGTTATGTGTTGTATATGAGATGTGTATATATACATGTTAGTTGTTATGTGATAAAGAACCATGTAAAATTAATGTTAAATTTCATGCCTATTGTGCTTTAAAATACTGAATTTAATGATTTTGAAGCATGATGTAAATTTCTAGAATATTCCTATGAGGCATGTATATTGTAAATATTTGACTTATAAGAAATAAAAATTTCTTTATTGGTCGTCATTGAAATGCATAAGATATATATGCATTCATCGGGATAGAATGGGAAAAATTGATTTGAAAGAAATGAAATGGATTTTGGGAAAGAATTTTGAAAATGATTTTTGTGAAAAACCTGGCCGCCTAGGAGTTGTCTAGGGACCACGGCGTTAGTAAGGCCTAGAGGGGACTAGGGAAATCGCTCTAGTGTGGTTGAGTTACCTATGCCCCAAATGATACCATGGAGTTGCCATGGGTCAGGAACAGTGGCCAATCCTCCTCTCGTGCCGCCATGGAGTTGCCATGGGACGGGTTCACTAACGGTTTGAAAATGATGATGGAAATGGTTTTGGAAAATGGGGAGTGACATTGCATGGCATGTCATATTCATTTGTGGTATCGGATTAATGATGTGGTATTGTGGTTATTTATTTATATATATATATTTTTCCGGCATTGTATGATCCCAGTTTCCTTATTCCTATTCATTGGGTGGATTCACGGGGTCTCAAGAGGTGTGCCTTAGGCAGTTCCTACTGAGCTTATGCTCATCTCTTATATTTAACATTTTTTAATAAACGGGAAAGAAGTGGCGGATGACGTACCACCATAGGCTTAATTTGGATTAAAAGATCATTTTGCTATTTTTGTATCTAAGCCCCATATTTTTGTAAAACCTTAGTTTGTTATATTTAGTATAGAGATTTGTGGACTCTTGCTATTATTGTTCTATTCATGGGCTGTGATTTTATTATAAGTTGTCTAAATGTTGTAAGACATGTACTTTAGATCTTAACCATATATTTTGGGACTGTAATTATGATAATTTGGATTAAATGGTATGTGAATGTTCCACCATGAGATAATCCATGTTGAGGTATAATGAACTGATGAATGGGATGCTGGAATATATTAATTGTATTATGTGTTGGGACAGGTCGGATATGTCTTGAAAGGCCAAAAAGGGCCATTGTGTTTTTTAGCAGGTGGTTGTAGGCCCCTTTTTAGGGAAGGTCATGCAGAATATTTTTTTTTTTAAATGGTATCAGTTTAGGGTTGTTACATATTACAACAGCCAATTCAACCCATCAAACGATAAGTTTTTGCCATTTTCCGAAGACAATATCAATTTTTATGGAAGAGATTCTCAATTTCCTTCTCATCAACCATCCTAACCTTCTTATCAACCATCTCAAACTTCTCATCAATATTGTGGCACTAGTATTCCACAATCAAGTAACTCAAAACCCCCGTCAAAACAACCGACTATCCGACATAATAATTGGACCAAGGCTGAAGATGAGGCTTTATGTTGGACGTCGATGTCGATTACCTCTGATGCGATTACGGGGGTAGACCAAAGTAAGAAGAAGTTATGGGAGCGAATTCTGGAACAATATAAACAACATATTGGTGTTCTAACTGAGCGAAATGATGGAGGTTTGATGAATCGTTGGTCTGTGATTCAACAAAAAATCAACAAATTTTCCGGCTACATAACTACCATAGAAATGAATCGTCCCAGCGACTTCAGCAGTGATGATATGGTGAGTTATTTATTGTTTAAATATAACTCATAAATATTTTAAATAGCCGGCTTTTAATTTTTTGTTATTTTTTTCGTGTAGATGATAGCAGCTAAAGACTTGTTTCATAGCCAAACAGGTGGTGAATTTAAGTTAGAAAGTTGTTGGGAAATCTTGAAGCATAACAATAAATAGAATTCACATTGTGCTGAACAAGTAGGAAAATAAAAAAAGAAAAAAGAGCAGAAGAAGAGAGTGGATTTGACTTTGACATTAATGAGTCTATTGGGCACTCATTACCATCTACTCTGTCAAGTCATGCAGCCACGACAGATGGAGCTTCAACTGAAGAATCACCACCCATAGGGGAAAATGATTCATCCGGTGTGGAAGAATATCAACTACAAAGACCAGCAGGAAGAAAAGCGGCGAAGCAGCGTCGAACAAAAATTAATTCAGCGAATGAATTGCGAACTTCATTCGTTTCGAAATTTAATAATATCACTACCTGTTTTAAGAGTCGTCAGGAAAAAATGAAAAATGCCCAAATGACACGAGAGGTAAGAAAAATGAAGAAAGAGAAGGAGTTTCTAGAGAAACAGAGACTTGAAGAGAAGGAGTTCATGTTAACAGATCCAAATTCAGCACCAACAGAAGCTGGAAAAGCTTGGATTATTGCACGACAAAATGAGATATTGGCATCTTTGAATTCATGGTCCGCCCCAAAGTTCCCATAGGATTTTGTAATTCTTGGTCTATTTATTTTCTTATTCCAATTTAGGATATTGCATTGTTTAAGTTATTTTTAATTGTTTTGTTTAATTTTTTTTTTTAATCCATAATGAATAATATATTGTTTCAAGTTCTAATATAAATAGTAGTTTTTTTTAATAATTTGAAAAAAGATTGCCGCTGAGAAAATAAAGCCGTTAAAAATATACCCATTACGAATATAGCCGTTTAGGAAAAGTTTTTTTTAAAAAAATAATTTTAATTTATTATTATTATTTTTTTTGGAGAGCGAAAATTCGGAGAGCCTGATGGAGTTCATGTTTTTGGAGAGCGAAAGCTGCTGACGTGGCTTTTGGAATTGCTGATGTGGCTCTTGAAAAAGCTGATGTGGCGTTTTTAGAAAGCCAAAATCCGAAGAGGCTGGTACAGATGGCCTGAAGAAGCCATCATTTTAGAGAGAGAAACAAGAGAAAGAGTAAGAGTTGGGTGAAGAAAGAGACGTTGCAGATGTGGTAAATTGAATTTAAAAATAATTTTTTTATTTCATGTGTCTAGAATTAATTGGTGTAGTTCACCAACTCAACCAAATTGAGATGGTAGAATTGGTTCACGCAATAATTTCTCGGCTTCAGCTGGGTATGATCCTCAAGTTGCACCAAAATATGAGGAGAAGACACAGAAGTTTATCAAGATCCATTAAAATAAAATACTTTTATTTATGTAAGAACATATAATTAGTTGATGACACATATCATATACGGTTACCGGCAGGAAAGCCTTCCTCCTCCTGTTGACCTTGTATATAGGGACGTTGTATAGGTTTCAATAATCCACTTCATGATTTTCTGTTACATGAAATCAGTCTCATTAGGAACTTTTTCTTTTCTTTTCTTTTCTTTTTTTTTTATAAAAAAAAAGAGTATATTTTTTAATCTCACCAATGAACACACATATATATCCAAATGGATTTGGCTTGATACCAACTTTAACATATAGGTGCTTTTATATATATTCATTTACTTTTTTATCCAGATCCGATATGGGACACTTGTAAGTTGTAAGACCTCAAACCAATAATTTATTCTAGGTCCATATTGAACGCGACCAAAAAAAACATAATAATAAAAAGAAGCAACTAAGATGTTACTAATAATGGTGCAAGAGAACAACTTGAAAAATAAGAATGTAGTAATGATATAATAATTAAGATTCAAGATACATAGATAGGCCATTAAATTTATAAAATTACAGTGATAAATTTAAAGAACAAGGGAGAGGAAAAAAAAAAATTAAAGAGAGAGAGAAAAAGGTTATTGGACAAACATTATTCACGAGTGTAAGAAAAATAGTAAATCTTTAGAGGGAGAGAAAAAAAAAAAAAATGGTAGAATTGAAAATGAAATAACTTTGAGAGAGAGAGAGAGAGAGAGAGGAAAAAAAACAAAGGAGGTTTGTTTGAAGAGGGAAATTAAGGAGGGACAAGTTGTAAAATTTCAAAAAATTATAGGGCTAAAAGTAGAAAATGCCCTGCTTATGACATAGTTGGCGCTGTCCTTGATCATCAGCAACATGTAGCCCTTGCCATCGCTTTTTCTCAGTTTTTCGCAGAGTTGTCTTGCACACACACTCTCTCTTTTCATTTTTGAAGAGTTATTACGATATAGGTTTCTCTTACATCAAATCAAAGCTTGTTCAGGTAAATCCTTACTCAACTTTCTGTTTGAACAACATTGTCTCTCACTCTCATAGGTATCTGGTTGAGAAGTCTATCAGTCCCATGAATGCATGTTCATATATTCATGGACTCAATCATATCAATCCGGGTCTGTTACTTGGTTGTGGAACAAGATTTTACAATGCAAATCCAAGCCCATTTCGGGTTTACACATCCGAAGCTCTTCAAGTTAACATAGCTAAGACAAAATCTTGGTTTCAATTGCTTCGACCCCGTAGGTCCAGATTTGTAGAAATCTTAATCGTATTTAATATACTCTAATACCAGTTTTGAGAGAGTTCCATACTTGAATCAAATCCATATGGTCACATCCTTGGACAAATTGGAAAGGTAGTTGGGACAGCAATACTGGAAGAAGAAGGAGAAGAAATACCAAGAGAGAATACTACCTCCAACACTCCCACAAAGTGTTCGAGTGAAGTCCATACTCAGAGACATAGTTCAAGGTATGCACAGTGGTTTAGTGCTTGACCGTGACTGCAATGTTTCAGGGTATGGATCTGAAGCCACTTTAGTTGTATTAAGGGTAGACCAGGAGTGCCAAAAGAGGCCATAGAAATCCATCATCAAATTTGGGACTAGGCATTTGAAAGGATTGGATTGGGAAGTGATGGTATTGCAATCTAATAAGATAAATGCTAAGCATCTCCAGAACGGGAAGATTATTATATATACAGGGATGCTTGAATTTCTTGATAACAATGCAGAGATAGCATATGTTCTAGGACATGAGGTATGTATGAGTGTGATTTATTGGAATTTATAGTCGTTGTTGTTGTTGTTTTTTTTTTTTTTTTTTTTCCCTGAATTTATAGTTGTTGAAAACCTTCCACGTTGGATGTCTTTAGTGAATTGTACATCTTTATTATGTTCTTGGTTTTTTTTTAAATATATTTTTTATTTTATTTTTATCAGGTTGGGCATGGTGTGGCAAGGCATTTCTCAGAACTCGTGATTAGGGCACTCTGGATTACTGCCCTAATATTGCCTTTTAATAATCGTGTGCTGATACACCCGTTTCTAGTAGAACCAGTATATAGGTACCTCTCACGGAGGTATGCCATTTGGCTCTGATCCCCTAATTCAGATGTGTTAATATGCTTAACATTAATGTTATGTGCAGTTTCATATGCTATTATTTTGTACTCGTACACTTAAAAGAACTATCATTAAGCAACTGAAATATCTTCTGGAAACAGGATCAGTAAATGCAAAAATGGATACTTTCATGTTAATTTCGTGTATCATATCTCCTTTTATGATGAAATGAATAGAGTATTCCACTTTGAACATGTACCTAATGTTCCCATATTTTGTGTGTATATTTATAGTTCTTGCTGATGCTTTTTATATTTTCAGCAAAAATATTTTATTAAAGCTTTTTATACACATTCTACATATGTTCCTTTTCTAAGAGTTCGTGACCAATTTTTGCTGCATAGAACTTACTAATTGAATAATTTTGCACATGGATTATAAATTTCTGAAGAATTCCCAATTTATTTAGTAAATTATAATATGTGGTATTCCCTAAACATTTAAAATTACATAAGCTATTTAGGAAAAAAAAAAAAAAAAAATTACATAAGCTCCACACGCCACCCTCTTCCTCCAGATCTTCCATTCTCTTTATACTTTGTAACTCGTAAGATGCAAGAATGAAACACAAAATGGAGAAAGCGATACATATAAGAAAAATATATGTGATATAAACAATTTTAATATGTGAGAGGGATGTTGTTATTGTCAAATTAGAAGTGACTACTGCCATATCAGATAATTCTATGGATAGTTGTACATGATGCTTCCACAGATGTATGGTTTAATTATAGAATTGCTAAGACCAGGTTGCCAATATTTGAAATAGTTTCAATCTCAATGTGCAATTTTCCATGTACTTTATAAACTAATCTCAAACAATTAGTTTGGATCTATACATGTATGGTTAAAATTAGGAAATATTGGGAGGTGTCGCAGAGCTTGCTAATTCTGCTGAAGCTGGTTGAAGACTCTGTGAGGCTTAAGCTAGCTACTTTTAGAAGAGTTATTGCTTCTGATTTGAATAAGAACATTCAACTCAGCTAGAACTTGCTGAAATTTTTAACTCTTTTTAGTTGGATGCCTTCTCTCTTGCCTCTTCACGTTTTTTGCGGCTGCTTTTTATGGTTGATCTATTGGGCTCAAGTCTCCTCAAAGCAGAGGGTTGTTCTGTCTGGTTTTAGCTTTTCTTATGGCCTCTTGATCTGGTCTCTCAATTGGCTTGGGTTGATTCCTTGTTCATCCTTTTGTAGCAGATTGCATCCCTCTTGGAGCTTTGATTTTCCTTTGTACTCTGTTAACTAATCCTTTAGGCTTTGTTTTGTAGCTTTTCCTTCTTGCTGCTATATTTCTGAGTTGCCTTTGGGATTCTTGTTTTTCAAACCTTTTACTTTTCTCATTCTTGATTGATGGATGTGGTCATTCTTTGATTATGGGGTATGCCCCATGAAGCTTTGTATTGGGTCTGTTTCTTTAATATAAATTCAGCTTGCTTATCAATAAATAATAAAAATATTGGGTGTCACAGTGTTAGTGAGTAGATTGGAGGTATTTGTAGTCTTGTATGATGTTTTGGCATTCTTGGATACTTGAATTTATTGTCATAGTTATTCCTATCTGCTTATTGTAATTATATAATTTCTTCCTTGAGAGTCCTTGTTTTCCTAACTATGCCCTAAATATTTAAATGATTTTTGTTTGCAAGTTTACACTCATTAGGGTAACACCTACAAGTTTTACACTGTAATTTCATGCTTCTTTCCTCTTCTTCTTCTTTGTTAATCTTTTTCGTTTTTAATTGTATTTTTTGGCAGGAAGGAATTGGAAGCAGATTACATTGGATTAATGTTAATGGTTTCAGCTGGTTATGACCCTCAAGCTGCACTAAAATATAGAGAGAGGTTTGACGATTCTGAAGACTGGTTATCATCTCACCCATCTAGCGAAAGGAGAGCTAGGTTGCTGAAGCAAGACAAAGTGATGGGAGAAGCATTGAATATATACAAGGAAGTGAGGTCTGGACAACGGGTCAAATGCTTTGTTTAATCCAAATTTTCAATAGAAAAAGGGAGAGTGCCACTTCATTCTGCTCCCTGTCAAACTCAAACCAAGTGATATTAGTACTTCATTTTTGTTAGATTTCTCTAATCCATAGGGAGAGCTCAACATTGAAATCTAGATTTTTTTTTTTTTTTTTTTTTTTTTTTTTCGTATTTCACATCTCACCGTCGT